GTGTTTCTTTTTGTTAAAACTATTTCAATGAGTTTTACGTTTGTTAAAATCACCATGACCGAACAGCTATAACATACACGCGAAGGTACTTAATAACTCTTCGTTCAACGTGGTTTTAACAAATGTAAAACACACTGAAACAGTTTTAACAAAAAGAAACACCAGTTATTGGTCAAAATTTTGTGATATCTGATAGAAACCTTTCGTTAGGGAATAATTTGTCAGGATCGATTGGAATAGAAACCAGTATTTGGAAATTGACAGATTTAGTTTCAAAGAAAGGCTGTTTTCGGACCTGACGTGAATATTCAAAGCAATGGCGATGCCAATAGTTTTTCAGACTTGTCTCACTGTTTTCTAATTATGACGTAATTTATGAATATGGCCGGATACGGTCTAGTGGTTAGCGTGCAAAATAGTGCGGGTCTAAGGTCCAAGGTCCGAACCCGCGATATACCGCTGAACAGCTTAACACTTTCAGTTGTGGGAACGTTATTCAGCTAGGATTAGCCGTGTAGGCGACAAGCATTGCTGTCTGATTTCCTTTCCACTGGTCAGTAGTTCTAAATTAGAACGGTTATGCCTAAAACTTGAGCTCTATGACCTTTCTGTAGAGCACATGTTTAGTGTATTGTGCCATTCAGGTTAAAAACGTCAAATACCATATTTATAAACATTGTCCTCCTAGCCCTAACTTTTCATGAGTTAGAGCTCAGAAGCTGTTAAAGACAATTTTCCACTCGAGAGAAGAAAAATAAATTCTTCTTTTGAACTACAACAGAAGTTTACATTTGGTGACAGTAACCCATTATATTTCGTGTGACAGCAAAGTCGACATATTGACCAGTTGCGTAGTGCAGATCCAACCAGTGTCAGGTCTTATCTAGGCTTCTATGTTGATCTGTAAGTTGCAACAGACATCTCGTGTGATTTGATGTGGATATAGTATATTGGTATAGGCTTGTAAAGTCTCTTTCAAGCTGATATAGTGGTTATGACAAGTTTCATTTTGTTCCTCGAGATTAACATGTATTAGACTATATACTCAAGTGTGTTGTATGCTAGTTTTTCCCGAAGAGAATAAAGAAAAGAAACCTGATTTCACAGAAATCAATATATCATTTATGGGTAAAATAACCAAGCAACCGCATGCTTGTTATTACCTGTTCTCACTCACATGCAGTGTTTGTTTCTTTTCTCTGTCAATAATATCATCTTGAATCTCGTAAGAAGGATAGAAAAATGTTTATGCGTGTCCAACGATTGTCATGTTACTAAGATGCAAACAGTTTTGTGAGTGGAATTTCGAGTGATGGAAAATCGAAATTCAGTTCTATAAGTCTCAGCACATGATTATAACATTAATCACCTGCTATTCTTGATCGAAAGTGAAAATAAACAAAAACTGTTAAGCCTAAGCACAGTCACTTAACAAAAACTGTTAAGCCTAAACACAGTCACTTAATAAAAACTGTTAAGCCTAAGCACAGTCACTTAACAAAAATGTTCAACCTAAGCATAGTCACTTAACAAAAACTGTCAAGCCTAAGCAAAGTCACTTAACAAAAACTGCTCTATGACCTTTCTGTAGAGCATATGTTTAGTGTATTGTGCCATTCAGGTTAAAAACGTCAAATACCATATTTATAAACATTGTCCTCCTAGCCCTAACTTTTCTTTAGTTTAGCAGTGATACATTAAAGGAAAAGAAGGTAGCTAGTCAACATCACCCACGCCCCCCCCCCCCAGTGGCACAGCGGCATGTCTGCGGACATACAACGCTAGAAACCGGGTTTCGATACCCGTGGTGGGGAAAGCACAGATAGCCCATTGTTTGTTTATTTGTAATTAAGCACAAAGCTACACAATGGGCTATCTGTGCTCTGCCCACCACGGGTATCGAAACCCGATTTCTAGCATGGTAAGTCCGCAGACATGCCGCTGTGCCATTGGGGGGCATTATAAAAAGTAAAAACAACAACTACAAAATGTAAAAATCAAGATCATTGTAAACAAATAATGTATTTGATTTCTAAACGTATTCCCGAAAAGTTAAGTTTTTTTTTAACATGATAAAATGAATTAAACACATGTGAGTGTGTGTGTGTGTGCGGATCTTGTTTTCAATGTCATTTGTATTTTACTACTACATTTATAGAACAACAAATATTGTCTTAAATTGTACCCAAAACGTGAGAAATACATGTGTATTCTTTGTGTATGCTGCTTTCGTTTTGTTTTTGTTTTTATCGTGTATACAACAAGTTTTATTAGGGAAAAAAAAACAAAAAATAAATACATCAGTTGCACTTTTCATTAAAAGTTTAACATTTGTTATGTCCAACTAATGTTGTCGCATATAAAACTCCATGCTGGAATACCTTTCAACATTTTTAGATTCATTTGTATTAATGTACGAAATCCCACTAGTGGGAGCTCTTCCGCTATAAATGAAGACAGAATAATCCTTTCATAAACACAAAATATACGTTAGATTCCAACTTACGACATGACACGAATGCGATTTCCCTGGTTGCTGTATATAATTACTATAAGTTAATGCTAAGACTACTCGTTTGAGCATTTGCTAAGCTTATCATTTTCCCAAAACACGATGAAAAAAAAAAAAGACAACTACCTCATTTTTGCTACATGTTCGTCTGTTGTTAAGCGCAAAGTTACACGATTGGCTATTTGTGCTCTGCCCACCACGGATATCGAACCCTGATTCTTAGCGGTATAAGCCCTTAGATCTCCCCCATGAGCCACCGTGGAGGGGTGGGGGCAGACTTTGCTTTTTTCACTTTTTTTTCTTTTTTAATATCACAAATTTTCACTCAAGAAAAAATGTGTTTGTACATTTTTTGTGTTGTTTTGCAGACATTTAATAATTTGATTGTCCCGGTCATATATATGTATATTCCCCCCCTCACAAAAACAAACACTAGGCTGAATCTCAGCCTATCTTAAATCATTTGTTTGTTTTGTGTTGAATTCTGCGTAAAGGTACATGAGGTCTATCTGTACTAGCCATCATTAGTTTAGCAGTGATACATTAGAGGGAAGGTAGCTAGTTAACATCCACCCCCCCCCCCCCAGTGGCACAGCGGCATGTCTGCGGACTTACAACGCTAGAAACCGGGTTTCGATACCCGTGGTGGGGAAAGCACAGATAGCCCATTGTGCAGCTTTGTGCTTAACTTCAAGCAAACAAACAAACATCACCCAATGCCAATTCTTCTACCAACGAACAGTGCGATTGACCGTCACATTATAACGCTCCTCCGGCTGAAAGGTTGAGCATGTTCGGTGAAGGGGATTCGAAACCGCGAAATAAAAGGAGAATTATTTTTTTCTAAAACACATCTCATGAAAAAAGCTTCAGATTTTTGAGCGACACTCTGTAGAAATTTAAAATTTAGGTTTACCATCAATAATTCAAACTGGTGAAATTCTGTTAGTTTTGTATACAGACTTTATTAGTAAATATAATGACACGTGTCATAGGAACTAGTTCCCAATCTGTGGTCCGCGCCATACCAGGCACAAAATCATTAGTAACAACATCGCTGGATCCGCATCTTAAATAATATTCAATGTTTGTAGATCCACTGGTGTTGGTGCTCTAACGGAATAGAAGATTATTGATTGGAAAACATAAAATCGTTGGAGACTCAATGCTCAAAAAACAAACCATAAAAAC